CTTATACAAGACACGTGTATCGCTCTAGTTCTTAGCTCTTATTTCATAAAATACTGTATTTAGCCTATTGTTATTGTTTGTACGATTGTAATAACCATCCTTAAAAAAATCTAAATTCTTAAAATATATATAATAAAAAATTTGAGAATCCCTATTTTCAGAAATTACATTTTAAAATATTAACGCATCTAAATTATCTAATCACTTTTCATCATTTCTACCAATCCATAATTCAGTTGTGTTAATATTTTAAAATAGTATTATTATTCCCACCACTAAAACCTTTCCTTAAATGTAGATTATTAAAACATATTAAGCATTGTGTAAACCAAAATTATTTCGTAAGCATTGCTAATGCATAAGTTACCTATATTTACCTCTTACCCAGCTAAGTAGTTACCCATACTCCGTTGGCACCACAACAAAATAAAGCGAAGAGCTTGTAGTGGCAATGATGTATGTTTGCGTTAAAATTCTCAAAATGTATATATATATATATATATATATATATATATATATATATATATATATATATATATATATATATATATATATATATATATGAATATATGCTTGTAAGTATGTATGTATGTATGTACAGACATACGTTCCATAGTGCGAATGTAGTGAGGAAAAAATATAGCAGACAAAAAAGCATTAATTTATAATTACGTATGCTTAAAGAGTTTACTTGACTGGCGTAGTTTGGTGGTTAACGCAAAAGAAAGGAAACAGGAAAAGGAAACCGATTTTGAAAGTTGTTGAATTATGCAGACATAAGAGCATTGAACGAGACATAATGTCGTTCAACATATATAGTAACATATGTATTATAATTTGGAAATGTAGACAGTTATTTAAGAAAATTTGTTGTTGAAATAAGAGACAAGTTTTGCAAATTTGAGAAATATTTCGATTATTTCTAAATAATTTAAATACCCTCCACCATACTGAAGGAATATGGAAATTTTCCAAAAAAAAATCCGTTAAATATTCTGTTAAAATCTTAAAAATACCGAATGTTGCCATTATTTTAGGCTCTATACGACGACGTGGAACTTTTATCATAAGTCATTACAATATTCAAATGCGAAACTTGAAAAAAAAATCGGTGAATAATGTCGCTAAAATCATCAAAATACCGAATATTGGAAGGTGCCGTTATAAAGGGGCTATACCAAAAAGTGGACCTGCACAATTTTCTGTCATAGGCTGTAGTTTCCACCACGAATTTCAAACACCAAATTTGAAACAATTCCGGTGAATAATAACGCTAAAACCATCAAAATACCGAATATCGGAAGGAGCCGTTATATGGGGGCTATACGAAGGCGTAGACCTGCACGGTCAATTTTCTATCATAGGCTGTAGTATCCATTACGAACATTAAATACAAAATTTAAAACATTAAATCACAAAACAAACCCCTAAAAAAGGAGGTACCTTTATATGGGGGCTTTATCAAAACATGGACCTACAGGGTGAGATAAAGAGCTGCAGTCTGCTAAGTCTCTTTGGACCAAATCCATTTCGAGGTATTTGGAGTCGATCTAGCGATGTCCGTCCGTACGATAACTCTCGAAGGAAGTATCCGATTTGATCCAAACTTGGTACATCATAATATTATTGTCAAACTTAGATCGAGTTCGGAGATGGGCATTATCGGTCCACGCCTTCTGGTACCTCCCACACAAAATGTCAAAATTTTCAAAGAAAATAATTTATTGCACAGAAAGAGAAAGGATAGTCCAATTTTGCTCCAACTTTGCGAATCTGAATATTTTCAGTGCTAGGTCAGGTGCGAAAATTGACAATATCGGTCCACTCCATCAGGTACCTCCCCCACAAAGGGTGAAAATTTTGAATAACTACAATTACACATCCCAATGATTTCATTTACCCAAGGTCTGGTGTGAAAATGGAATAAATCGGTCTATTCCTTCTGGTACCTCCCCTGCAAAAGGCAGAAATTTTCAAAAAATATTTTTTGCACAGAAAGAGAAGCGATAATCCGATTTTTTTACAACTTTGCAAATCCTAGTATTGGCATCAGTGCTAGGTCTGGAGTCAAGTTGGGATAAATCGGTCCACTCCTTCTGGTACCTCCCCCAAAAAAAAGATCGAAATTTTGAATATCCATTGAGCTCATAAAACGCCAAAATTATATTCGATTCCATTTAGACTTGGCACATCTCCATATTTCTACCAACACAGGATCTGCTATAAAAACGGTTAGAGATCGGACCATTTTTTCTGGTACCTTCCCTACAAAGACTGAAAATTATCTATATATACATATAATATACATTTGAGTAAAATGTTATCAACGTATTTCATTTCTTTCGGTAGCTAGAGTGATTTCCACAGACGGACCAAATATAAAATACCAAACTAGAATATATAATTTATATACATACAAATATATTTATATAATTTTTATATTTTCCTATTTTAAATATGTTAAAATAAATTAATATATTTCTAATTTTCCTATTTCTTAACTTGTTAAAAAAAATCCTTGCTCTTAAAATGCTCTTTTCCAATTTTGAGCCACACTTTCAGTTTGCTGTCGTAAGTTGTATGTAGCATTATTTTAAATATAAATTTCCTTCTTTGTTGTAACCACATTTCCAACCCCAACTAATACATTTTGAGTCATGTTTCGAAAGTCTTTAGGTTTCTTCGCTCTATTCTTCATTTTTCTTCCACACTATGCAAGGGAACAGGAAAAGGAAGTACTTAGAACGAATTTTAGAACAATGTCAGTAATTAATTGCAGCATCACTTAGTGAACGAGTTTGATTCTCATCATTCATGTTAAATAATGATTGGTTTTTACAAGAAACACACCAGTAGCTATTTCCTGACAGTGAGATTGTGGAGAGGAGAGAGAAATAGTGGACCCGTAAATAATTTCCTTTTTGTTATTGTACTAGGAATTTGATGAAAAGATTTGAATGTGTGCATAATATGATTTAAGGAAATTTTTGGTGTATAACAAGTAAAAAAGCTATAAGTTCGGCCGAGTCGAACTTTGAATACCCTCCAAGATTTGGAACGAATATGCAATTTTCAAAACAAAAAAAAAAAAAAAAAAAAATTAATAAATAAATAAATATGTTAATAATTGTGTGAAAATCTTAAAAATGCCAAATGTAGCCATCTTATTAGGGTACACACGATGACGTGGACCTGCATAGGCAACTTTATTCAAATATTCAAATGCGAAACTTAAAAGAAATAGGTGAATAATGTAGCTAAAACCATCAAAATATCAAAATGTGGACCTGCACAGACAATTTTCTGACTGAGGCTGCAGTAACTATTACGAAATTCAAATACCAAATTTGAAACAATTCCAATGAATAATGTCGCTAAAATCATCATTATATCAAAAATAGGGAAGTACCGTTATATGAGGGCTATAAGAAGACGTGAACCTGCACGGACGATTTTCTATAATAGGCTGTAGTATTAATAACGAACTTCAAATACCAAATATGAAACAATTCCGATAAATAATGTTGCTAAGCTCATCAAAATACCAAATATCGGGAGGTACCGTTATATGGGGGCTATATGGAGACGTGGACCTGCACAGACAATCTCCTGTCATATGCTGTAGTATCCATTACGAACTTCAAATACCAAATTTGAAACAATTTCGGTTAATAATGTCGCTAAAATCAGCAAAGTACCAAACATCGGGAAGTACCGTTATATGGAGGCTATACGAAGACGTGGACCTGCACACACAATTCTCTGCCTTAGGCTGTAGTATCTACTTCGAACTTCAGATACCAAATTTGAAGCAATTCCGATGAATAATGTCGCTAAAATCAACAAAGCACCAAATATCGGGAGGTACCGATATATGGAGGCTATACGAAGACGTGGACCTGCACACACAATTTTCTATCTTAGGCTGTAGCATCTATTTCGAACTGCAGATACCAAATTTGAAACAATTCTGGTAAATAATACCGAATATCGGGAGGTACCGTTTTATGGGGGTTATATGAAGACGTATAACTGCACAGACAATCTCCTTTCGTATGCTGTAGTATCCGTTACGAACTTCAAATATCAAATTTGAAACAATTTCGGTGAATAATGTCGCTAAAATCAACAAAGTACCAAATATCGGGAGGTACCGTTATATGGGGGCTATTCGTGGACCTGCACACACAATTTTCTGTCTTAGGCTGTAGTATCTATTTCAAACTTCAGATACCAAATTTGAAACAATTTCGGTAAATAATGTTGCAAAAATCATCAAAATACCGAATGTTGGGAACCGAATATTGGGAATATACCAAAACGTGAACCTAACTTGGTCCATTTTCAATACCAAAATTCCTTTTGAGTTCAATTTTATCAATCTACTGCATTTCTTTCGGACGCTAGAGTGATTTTCACAGACCGATAGATGGACGGACATCTCTAAATCGACATAGAATTTTAGGTAAGGTCTAAAATGTATGTTTCAAGGTGTTACAAACGGAATGACAAACTTAATATATACCCTCCAACAATTTTTATACCCTCCACCATAATATGGAGGGAATAAAAATTGCATATGTTTTTCAAAAATTTAAAAATACTTACATTTTTTTTCTAGAAATATAAATGAGAAGAGTGTTGGAATTTTTGTTCGGGATACCTTAACTATTTTGCAATCAGTTATTGTTGTAAGTCCAAAATATGTACTTAAAAATTTTATTGAATTGAATAACTTAATCTGATAAAAGGTATTCTTTAAAATTCAGTAAAACCCTAACCCTAATTAGTTTTCATTTCTGGCAAAATTCAATTCAACCAAAAAATTTGACAGAATTATTTATTTATAGAATTATAGTTTTATATTTATTTCTGTTATGTTTTATTTATGAATGTCCTTATATATAGTTAATAGTTAATAGTTACCCACACTTCTTTTCGATTCCACTTTTAAAGAAATTTCATTTAAATATATTCTATTTCTTTTAATGTTTACTTACATTGCTCCCACATAGAGGGCATTGTGCCTTTCATCAAAGTAAAAGGTTTTGTAAAACAACGGCCCACAGCTAAAATCCTTGACATGATCTGAAATGGGAGAAAATACAAAAATTACTTAGTTTGGCGGTTGGCAAAGTTGAGCGACCATTTAACATTTAAATTTATGATGAATGTTAAAGAATCAAAGAAATTCGAATTAAATTTTTTTTTTGAAAATGAATAACTATGTGGAAAACCAAATTGAGATTTTCAATGTTAAGCTTTTGGCAATAGACGAATGCTTTTGACTTCAAAGTTTAATGAACCTTTAGAGGCTGAAAGGTTAAAGGCAATATTCGTAGACTTTTAATTAATGAAGTGAAATAGATGAATCAATTTTTTTCAAATCAAATAACCAAGATCCTGTATCAGAAAAAAAAAAATGATAAAGATACAAATTCGTTGAGAAAATATTCTTAAAGGAAAACAATTCTTTTTTCAGAAAAAAAACCTAATACTAAATATATAGATAAAACACTATAATCCATGGCCAAGAAATATTTGAAAAATATTAAAAAATCCAAGATTCTTGGCTAGAAAGTCAATAATAAATATTTTGGTACTTGGAAAATTAAGAAATATTAGCATTTTTGGGTAGAAAGAGAAAATCAACATTCTTGTGTTGTAAAAAAATTAAAAAAAAAAATCAAGCAGATTTCGCCATTGAGTGTGTGACGCGTATTTAAAAAATTCGAGATTTTTGACCATGTAGTTCTTGAAAAGTATGATAGAAAATGCACGGTATATGACCACACAACCCTTTAAAAGTTTTTGGCAGGAAGGCATTTGGCAAAACATTGGTTTCAAGAGTTTAAATAAAAACGTGTTTCTTTAATCTTCTGATTTTAAAACCAGTAAGGAGAGGTCAAAAGCCGGGCGGGGCATACTATCTTAAACCCTACTCCGCTATGAATATTTGGGAGACATATCCAATTCTGAATCGATTATCACCAAATTTTACGGAGCCATTTTTACCTCTCATGCCAAATAACATTGCTATAGGGGTCATGATATCACTTCGAGATAGACTATATTAAAAAATATCGGAGCTGAGTCTCAGCAAATTGAAAAATTCGGTTGGATGTTACAAAATCATAAAAAATCGGTTGAAGATATATACGGGAGCTATATCTGAATTTGAATCGATTCCCACAAATAAAATTCTAAATACATACACTTCAGCACTTTGAAAATTTTATCAATTTAGTGAGGAGGTACCAGAAGAAAAACACCCATATATTCTATTAGATTTTCGTTCATTACTAGTCGTGATTTATATGGAAAGGTTGGAATTTTAGAAAAATTTTTGTCTAAATCTTGATCGCTCTTGAAGGAGGCGCCGGAAACATTAAGCAGTTTATTTATATTTTCTCACTTGATTTCATGCTGTGAAAAATATTTAGAAATGAAAACCTACAACTAATTTCATAATTTCTGGAAAACATAGTACCGGCCAGTTGCGAGTTATGAGGTCAATAGTTTGGTAAATATTTCCATTGTTATGCGTTTTGTTGGGTCATGGTTCATGTGGTCGATCGAATTCAGTTCTTGAGTTTTAAGTATTGAAAAGAGGATTGCTAGTGCCAAAGGCGTTTCAATGTGATCACCAAGCTCTCAACTTCGTTGCGAAGTTGTTAAGTTAGTATTTATGAAAATTTCCTGGAATTCAATATAGATTCAAAAGTATGTATGGGTCTAGATCAGCGCTCGCATTTGCATTTCACAGAGGGAGAGAGATAGAGAGAGAGAGAGAGTATATTTTAAGCTTTCAATGGTGTCAATTTCGCAAAGAATTGACACACACATTGTTTACCGAGAGAGGGAGAGGTGCTCTCTCGATGTTCATGTCTTTGATATGTATATGCAATCAAAGATTTTGTATTGACAGTGTTTGTCTTGCCCTGGCCTACATTGAGGGGAATACTCTTGTTTTCTGGGATTTTATTCAACTATTCAATTAGATCATACTTCCTTCTTCAGTTTAGATGTTGAATGTACGATAACTTTAGTAGCAATTCTGTCAGAGTTCCTTTTATCAATCTCATGGTGGAGTTCAGTTTGGCGTCAAATCGCCCCTAGAACACAATTGAAGTTATGGGAGAGCATCCATTAAATCAGACTGTTTTGTCAGCAGTGATGCACGGGGAGGCAGCAAACTTCGGGTTTCAGTAGGCTAGGTTTTTTGTCTCCATTCTCGGCAATAAGAGGGAATAGTTTTTAGGTCTGTCTCAAGTAATTTTTTTTTTCAAAATGTTGAACTGTGAGTTTTGGAGTGAAAATAGGATGAATAGGGTGGGGGCTCGCATTTAACACTTTGGAAAGACATTGGCGATTTTTTATTATTTTTTCCAGTCTGTAGAAAAAGAGTCCTTGAATATAAAATTATTCGCTACAAAAACTACGGATATATTTATATAGAATTCCTAAAAAAAGATATTAAAAAAGATAGTTTTGGTATCCAGAAATATCAGAATTTCCCTAACTTTATTTTTATACCCTCCACCTTGGAAAGGAGGGTATGTCATTCCGTTTGTAACATCCCTAAATATTCGTATATATAAGTATAAAGTATATATATATATATATATATATATATATATATATATATATATATATATATATATATTCATATTCATAATCAGCATACAATTTTAAGTCGATTTAACGAAGTTCGTCTGTCTGTCTATCTGTCCGTCTGTCTGTTGAAATCATGATACAGCCCACATTATTTGACGTAGAGCGTCAAAATTTTGCAGAACAATTTGTATTGCGTCTAGGAATTAAAAATGAGATATATCGGTCCGCGTTTTGTTATAGTTCCCATATAACGGTACCTCCCGATTTTTGGTATTTTGATGATTTTTGCCACATTTTTTTTCAGGGATTTGTCTAAAAATTGGTATTCGTTGGTCATAATGGTTTCTAGCTGCGGTGGCGAACTTTGTATGTATAGGTCCACGTTTTGGTATAGCTCCCATATAACGGTACCTCCAGATATTCGGTATTTTGATGATTTTTGCCACATTTCTTCGAGGATTTTTCTAAAAATTAGTATTTGTGTGTCCTAAAGGATTCTAGCTCCGTTGCCGAAACATTGTAAGTACAGGTTGACGTTTTTGTATAGCCCCATATAACGGTACCTCCCGATATTCGTAATTTCAATGATTTTTGCCACATTTCCCCACGAATATATCTAAAAATTGGTATTTGTGGGTCCTATTGGACTCTAATGTTTCCTTTACCCTAAGGTGGAGGGCATTAAAAGTTCGGCCCGGCCGAAAGTAATGTTTTTTTACTTGATTTACTTTTGTTTCCGCCTAATTAAATTTAATAAAGATTTTTATCTCTCCTTTATTTAATCCAATAATTGATTATAAGCAATGTTATCTATTCGTTTATCTGTCCGTGTCGGCCATGGCGTATGCTTATTGTTTTCATTTCATTCAACAACAATACGCTCCCTAGTTCATGCCTCGCTACAACCATATGGAATATTTCAGCAGAACAAGAAAATAATTAAATTCTATATTAAGTCTATAATATTCTCATTTCTGGATTGTCTTATCTTCTGGCTCGTTATTTATTTACCTTATCACCGATTTAATCACAAAGACAGGAAAAACAATGGAGACAGTAGACTGTTTTTTTTTCCTCATTGACTTGAGCAAATGTTTCACACTGTGTGTGTGCTTGAATGTGTGCAAACTAAGCAAAAATAAAATAGAAGAAACGAAATTCATTGTCACACTGAAAGTGGACAGGTGAAAGAAAACAAAAACCCAACACAATAGAATGGCACAAAACAAATAACGAAAAATCTCCTAGAATTGACATACATCCAGAACAGCTTTACACAACTCAAGTTGTCAGTAACTGGGTGTTTGTTGGCCAGAAAGAAAAGGAAAACCAAAAAAGTGTAGAAAAAACCAAAAGAAAACTCAAGCCAAAGGCAAACAGCCAGAGATAGTAGTTTTTCTGCCATAGAACAAACAGACACATTCTCAATCACAACACTGGGACAATAACATAACTCTATTAAGACAAATGTTAAAGCTAAAAATTGCTCCATTATTTCTTCAACACCAATACCACCAACAATGGCGCCCAATGGTACATTCACACACATCTACAAGCAATAAGCTCGCCCTAAATACCTCCTCCTCTTCGGCCCAGCCACAATCTCTGTTGGTAGCTTCTTACCAAGCCATTGAGTGAAAGTGCAAATGATAACAATATTAAAGCACTGACAAACCGACAAACAGACAGACAAACAGTCACACTGAACTAGGAAACTTTTTGCAGCTGTTGTAGTTAGAAAGATATTACTTTTTCTTCCTATTTTTCATGAACTTCATTTCATTTAAAGATGAGAGAGGGAGAGAGAGAGAAGGAAAAAAGTAGATGCGAGCAACAAAAACGTTAAGTAAATCTTTATAAAACCAACGGGAACCAACTGCAAGGACATTCCGGAGTCGGAGGTTGAGGTTGTGGAAGCTGTTGGAACTGGAAGTAAATTTTATGTCAACCCCAGGTGTTGACACAGCAAAATATAATGGTTGTAAGTTCTCACCAGTCAGCCAGCCAGGCAGCCAAGAGAACAGTATACGAATCAAAATCAACAACAACAATAAGAACACAGTGAACATTAAAAAATACAATAAAGTTAAAGGATGTCAAAATGGCAAAATATTCTCAAGAAATAGGTGACATTTTTGGAATACTGAAATGTTGATAAGTATTTAAAGAAGAACAGATGAAAAAAATGCGGAAAAGAGAAGGGAAATAAAAATGAACTACAAATTAAAGAAAATTGGGGAAAATATTTTTGAAGATTATTTTTATATTTTATGTTCGAAATAGATGCATTTAGTAGTTTGAAAAGTACAGAACAGAACCTATGTTATATTTATATATTTTGTCCAAAGCTATAAGTTTTACATTACTATTTCGAAATTATGGAAATTTTTCGTTAGTTAAAATATTACAAGTACTGTCAACAAGAAATGAGAAAATCGCCCGCTATTGAAAACAAAAATATTTGTCACTTC